GACTCGTGGTGTGAAAAGAAGCATCAAAAAGACCAAATTGAATGACATCCACGATCCGTCATTGAAGGGAACCATTAAAGCAGCCATTCGAAGTGCTAAAGATATGAAGCGAGGAAAAACTGTAAAAATTCCAAGAGTGTTGAAATTACCGAAATTCGGAGGCGGAATTCAAGCAATTTTACCCATATTGAGCGGGCTGAGTGCCATTGGTTCCATTACAGCATCGACTGTTGGAGTTGTGAAAGCTATTAATGATATTCAGACTGCAAAGAAGCAGCTTGCATCGGGTCAGCATAATATGGGCGGAGGAAAGAAAATTGGTCGTGGACTAAAATTAATATATAAACCGGATAAAAATGCGAGAGGATCTGGATTTTACTTAAAACCACACCAGCATTCACGTTAAATAGATACCGCAATCATAAAACAGCGACGATGTCGACTACGACATCAGTCCAAGAAAGAAAAATATATCGAACCATTGAGTAACTATGATATTTTAGACTTGGCCGCAAAACTGAAAATCCCCCACTTTCATGGTGTTTTTATGCGTGTCACTTTGATGAAAAAGGTGGGACCAGCAGTACGTGAATGTTGGATTCTTAACCATGGAAAATCAAACACAAATGACACGCATTGGACCGCGCTAGCTAAAAATTATAATACAGTACTATACTTTGATAGTTTTGGAAAATTAGCACCGCCGTTTGAAGTTCTCAACTATTTGGGCGATGGCGTCAATCTTTATTTTAACGCAAAAAGATATCAGAACTTTGGAACTACCATTTGTGGACATTTTACTTTTCCGTACACAACGTGTACATATAGGAATTGGTCCCGAAAACTTTTTTCGCAAAATTAGCTTAGATCATCATAAAATCTCATGAAACGCGTAGAAAATCACTTTTTGAGACACTTTTCCGTTCGTGTGCCGTCGTCGTTGTCGTTGTCGTTGTCGTCGTCGTAGCTGTTTGTTAACACGATAACTCAAAAAATAATTGAGATAATCAAAATCTGGAAATGCCAAAAGTTTTGTATTCGAAAAACTTAGTTTAAGTTCGAAGATGAGCCATTTCCGATTTGATCCTGGGGTACTTGCCCTAAGAAAAACCTTAAAAAATTGACACTTTTGTATGGGAGGTACCTGTAAATCGACTCCGATTGGCTTCAAACTTTGTGAGATTTCATTTTTTGAGAGAAAAATGAGATTTTGGAAGTTTGAAACCAATCGGAATCGATTTACGGGTACCTCCCATACAAAATTTTTGAAATTTTGACTAAAATTATCGATTTTTGGACAATTTTGTATGGGAGGTACCCGTTAATCGATTCTGATTGGCTTCAAACTTTCCGAGGTTTCATTTTTTGGAGAAAAAATGAGATTCTGAAAGTTTCGTGTTGATCGCATGTGCAGAAGTTTGGTTTTTGGCCCTCAATTTTTTCCAAGAAAATTTCGACAAAAATTGAAGACAAAAAATCAAACTTCTGCAAATGCGATCAACATGAATTTTTCAGAATCTTATTTTTTCTCCAAAAAATGAAACCTCAGAAAGTTTGAAGCCAATAAGAATCGGTTTACGGGTACCTCTCATACAAAATTGTCGAAGTTTTAGTTAAAGTGACCGATATTTCACTTTATTTTTATTATTATATTTTCACTGCCTTTATTTCAAGGAAATTCACAAAAAATAACCAAAAGTACCTACAGACAACGCAGGCTAACGGTACGGAAAAGTTCGGGATTACCAATGTAATTCTTTTTATATGTTTAAGGTTTTTGCGTGATTTTTGGCATAAAGAAAGAAAGAAAACATATATAAAAACTTGATCATCACTATAAGCATGTCAGTTAATCACGGGCTATGACATCGCTCACAGTCGCTTTTACCGGCACGTCATCAGTGCTGCGGGCAGATTTTTTCCCTGAAATAAGGCTTGATTCGAACAGCAATTATTGCTGTGGACTGTTGGATTTTACTTCATACAATTCAATACCAAACATCACAGAAAATCAAAACAACCAGTTTAAATTCAAATATAAAGTAGAGGAGAAGAAGAAAGGCTCATTAGGAAATCGTCTAAAATTATTAGAAAAACGTCTAAAAAAAGTGAAAAAAACGTCTAAAGAATTTGTCAAAAAAATTGATAAAATCGTCAAAAAAATAGAAAAATCATCTAATGAAATTGCGAAAATCGTCTAAAAAGTTTCAATTTTTTTTTTATGCAAAAATCATCTAAAATAATGTCGAAATCGTCTAAAAGCCCTATTTTATTTTTTTGGCTTGAATATCGTCGTTAATGTCCAAAATTTGAATATTCTGCCATGTTCAATAACTGTCGAACATCTAAATTATGATTTCACGCAATGGTTGGCCCAGAACGGCTTCGGATTTGGCATTGGTCTAAACAATAATGACCAAAATTCTATACGTTTGATAAAATAATACACTGATCAAAAGCAACTAAAAAAATGTTTTTCAAATTCTTTATTTTTTTGAATATCGTGATTCAAGTCAGAAAAAACAAATCGGACTTTTAGACGATTTCGACATTATTTTAGATGTTATTTACACACATAAAAATATGAGAATTTTTTAGACGATTTTTTCAATTCTTTTGACAAATTCTTTAGATGTTTTTGTAAATTCTTTAGATATTTTTGTGAATTCTTTAGACGTTTTTCTAACATCTTTAGATGATTTTTACCAAAAAAATTGAAAATTCAAATTAGATGGTTTTACTAATTCTTTAGACGATTTTCTCAATTTCTTTAGATTCAAAATGAATTATTTTTTTAGACGATTTTTATATTTTTTTTAGACGATTTTACACATTTTTTAGACGAAAAACATTTAATCCAAGAAGAAAGACAACGCAGGAAAACCAATTACAGTTTCAACGTGGAGAGATAAAACAATCTCATTGCCTACGGGTTCGTATGAGGTTGAGGAAATTCTCAAGTATTTAAAGGCTGAACTTGCCGCTGTTCAAATCAATTTAACATATGAAGTCAGTGTAGGAGCATCAAAAGTGCGAATAACATTCAATACACAAATCGAGTGGATTGACGGATCAGTATTGAATGTAATTGGATTTAGGAGAGAGAGTTCACCAAAATTTGATAAAAACGCTGGTTACTGGAGCGATAGTATTGTTAAGATTACACAAATTGATGTAATACGAATTGAGTGCGACATTGTATCGGGTTCCTATATAAACGGAAAAAATTGTCACACGATTCATCAATTTTCCAATTGTAAAGTGAGCCCAGGCTATAAATTCATCGAAGTTCCACAGCACATTATTTATCTGCCAATTGAGGAAAAGCGATTACGAACCATTCAAATTTCTATTGTCGATCAGAACGGCAATCTGATTGATTTCCGTGGAGAGCAAATCAGCTGTCGAATTCATATCAAGAAAGAAAGTGAACGATTTTAAAGTAGCATAATGATAATTTACACCGAAAGTGGTAATAGCACAGCTGGATCGGCTATGGGCTATAAAAGTGGAGGTAAACGAAAACAGAAGAGTATTCGGAGATCAACATCAAAGCGCACCACACGAAAACGTGCATCATCGCGCAAGAGTAAAAAGAAACGCGGCGTAAAGACTCTTAAAGTGAAAAACGTGAAATTCTTAAAAAGATTAGGTTTTCGAGTTAAACAACATTAAGAGGAAATGAAAAATGACTGGAAATAACATTCTTAGTATTGATAGGACAGCCGTCCACGATGATACAATCATAAAGAAGGAGATTTATCCATACACACCGTACACCACAGCATTTGGTGAATCTGATGAGATTCGTATCGCTATTCAAAGTAAAGACTCATACTTGCTGCCTAGTGAATCATATATTTATATGCAAATACGTGCTACATCTACGGGAGCAACTGCTGCCAATGATCCTGATGTAAAATTTATCAACAACTATGCATCGTTTCTATTTAGTGATGTACGTTATGAACTCAATGGTGTTGAAATTGATCGCGTTAGAAATGTTGGACGAGCGACAACAATGAAACTAATGGTAGCATCACGCTTTTCGCATTTAAAGGGATATGCCAACTATTGTAAAACATACGAAGAAGTTTCACCGCATAAAGCCGATGCTCCTAGAACAAAAACATATGATGTTGTAATACCATTAAGCGTTTGGTTTGGATTTTGTGACGATTACAGAAAAATCATTCTGAACAGCAAACATGAGCTGATATTAAATCGAGCTCGAAACAGTCGTGACTGTACCAAAGGTGGCGGCGAACCGGCCACAGCCGCTACAGTTGATATAGCATTGCTAAAGATTGAATGGAAAATGCCTCACGTCATATTATCCGATCGCATAAAATTGAATATGTTAAACTACCTAGCAAAGAATCGGAAAATGGTAATACAACATCGTTCAATGGATATGATGGAATATCCCGCACTGTCCGCATCGACAAGTCAAATATGGTCAGTTAAAACCGTATCGCATGCAAATAGGCCGAGATATGTTGTAGTCGGTTTTCAAACGAATCGGAATGGTGTGCGGACTGCAGATGCAGCTAAATTTGGCACTTGTAATATACAAGAAGTGCGTTTACACATGAATTCACAGATTTATCCATATAATATGAGCGAGCTCGACATAGGTGGAAGCCTCTATTCAGAACTGTATCATTATTATGCTAGCATACAATCATCCTATTACAGTGGTGTAGAGATATCAAATCCATTCCATGTTAGCTATGGACCGTTCCAGAAAACGCCATTGTTTGTTTTCGATACATCACGCACAGATGAGTCCCCAATCGACAGTTCGGTGGATATTCGAATTGAAATAAAAGCAAGAGAAGCAATAGCAGCTAATACTGCAGCCTATTGTCTCATCATATACGACAATGAATTTACATATTCACCATTTGACAGCATCGTGACACGAAAAATATAAATTCCAATTGCATATACATCAACATGACATTCGTAGCAGTATCGCGTAAGAGTAGACAAAAACTATGAGTAAGCAACAAGTTGTTCGAGAAATTCATCGCCATGCGCAGAAGAATTTTCAACGTCGTAAGATTACGATGTATGGGATCGCCGACACCCTGCAGGCTGATCTCATTGAAATGCAGCCATATGCACAAGAGAATCGAGGTCATAGATACATTTTAATCGTTATCGATGTATTCTCAAAGATGGCATATGCCGAACCGTTGTTGAATAAAACCGGGTCCGAGACCGCACGCGCGATGGATCGTATTCTTCAAAAAGTTAGGCTGCAGCATCATAAGGTCAACAACCTGCATACAGATGAAGGCTCCGAATTTTATTGTCAACCAATGAGGCAGTTACTTCAAAAGTATAATATAAATCACTACTCAACATTCAGCTTAATGAAGGCCTGTGTGGTCGAAAGATTAATTCGTACAATAAAACGGAGGCTGTATATGCAGTTCAGCCTGCAGGGCAATTATCGATGGCTTAAAATCTTACAGCAAGTTATTGACAGCTACAACGATACATGGTAAATTCAAACTCTCTCTTTTATCGATAGCTTTCATTTGAGAATAATATATATCTTCTTATATCCACATAAAATGACTAGGCATAGAACCATACGCATGAAACCCAATGAAGTAAATTCCAGTAATGAACAGCGACTACGTAATACTGTATACAATTATCAGCGTTTGGTGCCATCATCGAGAGCAGCGTCAACAGCTACATTGATTAGCGCTCGCTATCGAAAAAAGAAACTACAACGCCGGAGCGCAAAGTTTAAAGTCGGCGATCACGTTAGATTAAGCAAATATAGAACGGTATTTGAGAAGGTATAGTGTGCAATATCAAAATGTGGTGAACGCCGGAGGAGAGTTCTATTTCAATGTGCTTTATTGAGTCGAGTTCGAATGAGACTGAGTGGATGCGCATGGCATTGCGACTAATTAGGCTAATGCCGCAATTAGTCGCAATGTGAGCGCATGTATAGTCGGAGAGTACATGCATATGTGTATGATAAATACATAGGTGCATGCGCTCTCCGGCTATATTCCTTCCACCCGAAAAAGTTCAGAATTACATGAAAAAAACTTAACCTATATCTAATCTATATATAATATAAATTATATTCATTTTTTTGTATTTTCTAGTGTTTTTGTTTGATTTCTGAACTAATTACTA